ACAAACACACACACACACACACACACACACACACACACACATGAAAACACACACATACACACACACATGCACACACACACACACACACACACAAATACACACACATGCACACACACACACACACACACACACATACCACCCCTTCTCGCCTCTCGTTCTGCCTCTCAGTCTGCTTTGGTCATTTGCTCATCTCATATGATTCAGTTTGTTACTGATTCAATTTGGTGCTGATTCAGTTTAGTGCTGATTCAGTTCATTGAGATGTTGATTCAGTTCAGTGAAATGTTGGTTCAGTGAGGATTCATTTCAGTTAGATGATGGTTTAGCATTGATTCAGTTCAGTGTTGGTTCAGTTCAGTGCCGATTCAGTTCGGTGCTGATTCAGTTCAGTGTTGATTCAGTTCAGTGCCAATTCAGTTCGGTGCTGATTCAGTTCAGTGTTGATTCAGTTCGGTGCTGATTCAGTTCAGTGTTGATTCAGTTCGGTGCTGATTCAGTTCAGTGTTGATTCAGTTCAGTGTTGGTTCAGTTCAGTGTTGATTCAGTTCAGTGTTGATTCAGTTGCTGATAATGCTGTTCTCTGTTGCCTCAGCTGGAGAACCTCATGCTGGATAATGACGGACACATTAAAATCACAGACTTCGGTCTCTGTAAAGAGGGAATCACAGACGAGGCCACCATGAGGACCTTCTGCGGGACCCCAGAATACCTTGCGCCGGAGGTACTGAACACACACAAACACACTCAGATGGACGCAGAGGTCCATCATGGAGTCAGGATGATGCATTCAGTTCATTAAATCTATCTAAACGATACGGTGTTTGAGCTGCTCAGCAACTGTAGACATCTGTGGAGATCCAGGATCCACCGTCTGAGTGATGGAGGACGAGTCCAGCTGTCCTTTCTGAACACACTCTAAACATGTTTCCAGCATCATCAACAACATTTCAATGGATTTTCTTCTGATTACTGTTGTGTGTGCGTGTTTGTGTGTGTGTGTTTGTGTGTGCGTGCATGCATGTTTGTGTGTGTGTGTGTGTGCGTGCGTGCATGCGTGTGTGTGTGTTGGTGCAGGTGCTGGAGGACAATGATTACGGCCGTGCGGTGGACTGGTGGGGTCTGGGTGTGGTGATGTATGAGATGATGTGTGGCCGTCTGCCGTTCTACAGTCAAGACCACGAGCGTCTGTTCGAGCAGATCGTGATGGAGGAGATCCGCTTCCCCCGCAGCCTGAGCACACACGCCAGAGCACTGCTGACCGGCCTGCTGAGGAAAGAGCCCAAGCAGAGGTACACACACACACACACACACACACACACACACACACTGTAACTAGTAAACTGTGCGATCTTTAAATAAAACATGTGTATGTCAGATATTTATAATTAGATATGTGTGTAAAATGCTCTGTTTCCCCCAGGCTCGGCGGAGGCCCAGATGATGCCAGAGATGTGATGATGCACAAGTTCTTCAGCGGCGTTCAGTGGGACGATGTGCTGCAGAAGAAGGTGAATAACAACAAGAAGAAACAGCATCACCACATACAGATCAAGACAGAACTATCAGCCCTCCTGTGCAGCTTTTCATTATTTCCCAAGAGTCTTAATGCAGAGGAGATTTCAACACATCTCTGATCAGAACAGTGTTCATAACTCATCTCTGATAGCTGATGTGTTTCCTCTTCTCCATGATGACAGTAAATAATATTAGACTAGATATTCTTCAAGACACTAGTGTTCAGCTTACAGTGGCATGTAAAGGCTTCACTAGGGTAATTAGGGTAAAGTTAGGGTAATTAGGCAAGTCATTGTAGAACAGTGGTTTGTTCTGGAGACGATTTAAAACAACAATATGCAGGACGCTGACCCTTCAGGATCGAGATTTGAACAAAACCAAAGCTAACAGCATCTCAGTTTTAAACGTAGTATACTGCCTGAAACACACACACACACACACACACCAAACTATTAACAAACAAACAAACAGTCCAACTGCTTACCAACTGTTTAAGCAAACAAGCCAAAACTCCTTGTGTAAGTTGGACACCTAGTGGTTGAACTGGGTATTGCACTCCTGCTTCAAATCACATGCAAGCGCAGGTTGCCAGATTGAGGACACCAACAGGAGTGTGCCTGACTGCCGAGCCTCAAGGCTGATTCAAACCGTGTTCTGAATAGAACGGGGCACACGACAGAAGGATTTTTTGTCCTAACTAACAGCTGAAATGGATATATTAGAAACAGCTTCTATTTCTCACAGACTTTTCTATTTCTCTGACTGTGTGTGTGTGTGTGTGTGTGTGTGTGTGTGTGTGTGTGTGTGTGTGTGTGTGTGTGTGTGTGTGTGTGTGTGTGTGTTTCTGTGTGTCTTCAGCTGCTGCCGCCCTTTAAACCGCAGGTGACGTCAGAGACGGACACACGCTACTTTGATGATGAGTTCACTGCGCAGAGCATCACTGTGACCCCTCCAGACAAGCGTGAGTGTGTGTGTGTGTGTGTGTGTACTCAATCTCCGTCCTGATTTCTTCTGTCTCATGTCTTAACTATAATTATACAAACTAAAAGACTTTTAAAACGTGTAAAAGACGATAAAATACAGTCGAATTTAAAAACAAAGTGCTCATGGAAGCCTAATGGATCAAACTTGACACGCACTCAGCCTGTTTCATACAGTACAAGTACAGTATAAATGTTTATTTGTGTGTGTTTGTGTGTGTGTGTGTGTGTGTGTGTGTGCGTGTGCGTGTGTGTGTGTGTGTGTGTGTTTTCAGTGAGCTGTCAGGACGTGGAGGAGTCTGGGCCGATCGCACATTTCCCTCAGTTCTCCTACTCCGCCAGCGTCCGAGAGTGACGCCTCATCCCCAGGACCTCCTATTATGCATCATGATGGATTCCCATAATGCACTGCACTCTGAGGGAAGCATAAAGTTGGATGTGTGTTGTGTTTAAACGCTGCCGAACACAGCGCTGTCAATAATCAGCAGGAAAACTCTTTCTGTCAGGATCACAGTCAGACATGGGCAGGTATTAAAGACTATCAGCTGCTGTCAGACTCCGCCTCTTCCTGCACACGCACAACTACACTGTGTGTTAGGGATACAGTACATCCAGTGCAGATTATTACACGGCTGTCAGGAATACTGAACTCTGAGTGGCCAGTCTGCACTTACTAGATCTGTAATTCCCAGATAACAACTGCTAAATAACACAGACTCATGCAGGAACTGAGAATCACCATCAGAGTGTACGTTCATGACACTAGATGGAGACAAACAGTCAGAAACAGCTGATGGAGTATACACTAACCTGCGCATTATTCAGACACTAGATGGAGACAAACAGTCAGAAACACAACAGAAACTAAAACAGCTAATGGAGTATACACTAACCTGCACATTATTCAGACACTAGATGGAGACACACAGTCAGAAACAGCTGATGGAGTATACACTAACCTGCATATTATTCACACACTAGATGGCGCCAAACAGTCAAAAACACAACAGAAACTAAAACAGCTGATGGAGTATACACTAACTTGCGCATTATTCAGACACTAGATGGAGATAAACATTCAAAAAGCACAGTGTGACAGACAAGCAAATACATATGAATGTGTATGTGAGTATATTTACATTTAAATTTAGTCATTTAGCAGACGCTTTTATCCAAAGCGACTTACAAATGAGGACAAGGAAGCAATTTACACAACTATAAGAGCAACAATGAATAAGCGCTGTTGGCAAGTTTTATGTGTGTAAAGTCTAAGAAGGAAAGCATTAGTAATGTAAGAATTTATTTATTTATTATTTTATTTATTATTTTTTTTTAATATGGAGTGTATTACTGACAATGATTCTCAGTACACAGATGAACCGGTGTTATTCAGCAGTTGCCATCTGGGAATAACAGTCCTTGGAATGTAGCGACTGACCAATCAGAATCCAGTATTCCAGTCAGCCGTGTAATAAATAAATGTGAACCACTATTATTAAAAAAACATTTGTCAAATTAGTGTACTAAAATAACTCAAACTCAATGAAAGAGCAGAATATGGAGTTTTAAAAAACATCTATATTTTTAATAACACATTTCAAATGAAAACTTCTTTAAACTCTTTATGTCAAATCAGATTTTCTCAGTGACACTGATTTGCACGCATGAGCTTTTGGCCAATCAGGTGACATATGCAAATGCATATTTTTCCATGATAAATGATCCTCACAGACTCTAAGGGCCAGTGTGATTTGGATCACATTTATGCACGTACATCTTTCATAGTTCGTGTAATTAAAGCGACAGTTCACTTTACAAAAAAAATATACAACATTTTTTTAATTCACACTGAATTGTTTGCAGTCCTTTATGCATTTGTTTTCTCTGCTGAACATAAAAGAAGATATGTTAAAGAATGTTCAAAAACCTGTAACCATTGACTTCTAAAGTAGTAAAAACAAATACTGGAAGTCAAAGGTTACAGGTTTCCTTAATGTTTAAAACATCTTTTGTTTTCAGCAGAGTATAGAAACTCAAACAGGTTTAAACAAGTGAAGAGAGAGTAAATATTGACAGAATTCACATCTCTTTACCCTTGTAAAACTAATCTATCATGTTATGCATTAATATCTAAGGCCTCTAACTTTATTCCACTTAAACACCATGATATCAGCTAAATGACTACATCTTTATAAATAAACACAGAAATAAATGACTTGAGGTAAACGCGTCTGATTGAGAAGCAGCGATGACAGATTTCTCCGCCCACCTGACCTCACCGCTGTCAGTGTGGACCAATGAGAGAGCGAGCGGAGTGGCGGTCATGTGATGAAAACAGGAAGCGCCGATTTTTGGTTATCGATCATCTTCATCGATCTCTATGAGGAGGCGCAGTTTCTGCTGTATCTTTGCTGGGATCATGGTTCTGCTCTTCATCATCTTCATCTGCACATTCAGCTCTCACGTGAGTCTCATCGATCAATCCACCGATTAATGATCCGCGCTGCCTGAGAGAGTCACAAACATCAACACTCGTATCAGGCTGACAGTGATTAGCAGACCGTGGTACATGTCTGATAACAGGGTGTTTTACTGTGGTACACTAATATCAGGCTGACAGTGTTTAGCAGACCGCTTTAAACCGCGGTACATGCCTCTTTTACTGTAGTAACGTTACTATAATATCAGTCTGACACAGCGATTAGCATACAGCTTATAACAGTTAAATACTGCAGTACAGTTCTGATAACAGGGTGTTTTACTATGGTACAGTAATAATATCAGGCTGACAGTGGTTAGCAGACCGCTGATACCACGGTACATGTCTCTTTTACTGTGGTACAGTAATATCAGTCTGATACAGTGATTAGCATACAGCTTTAATCAGGTAAATAATGTGGTACATGTCTTAAAAACACGGTGTTTTATTGTGGTAGCATTACACAAATATCAGTCTGACTGTGATTAGTATACCACCTGATTAAATACCGTAGTACATGTCCGAAAACAGGGTGTTTTACTGAGGTGTTATTATGGAAGACACATCAGCAGACTGTAGGAGAGCTATAGTGCATTACCATGGTGTTCAGGCTGATGCTGAAACATTCTAGGATGAGATCCAGGCAGTCTGAGAGTTACAGTATTTCAAATCATGGTTTTATTTGAAGATACTAAAGGATAATCAATAAACAGGTTTGCTTAAACGACATTAAATGTATATTATAAGTACATAATATTCATATTCATATGCATTTTTAGATATTAATTTTATGCATTTAAAAATCTAAATAATTTCAGCAATGTTTCATATATAGAGTTGAAAGCAGAAGTTTACATGCATTTTGTTTAAATGTCTGAATCTTACTAAACGCTTCCTCTTTTAGCTCAGTTGGGATGATTTATATTTGTTAAATGCTGCAGTAATGACTCTGATATATATTCAGCTCTGCAGCTGTTTGAGTGTGTGAGTGTGTGCTGTTCTCAGGTCAGTGTGGCGTGGAGATCTCAGACTGAGTTCAGTGTTTCTGGACGAGCGCTCTACAAACTGGACCTGTCCTGGCCCAAGTACCCAGAGTTCTTCACTGGACAGGTGTTTGCGGTGGCCGTCAATCATCTGGCGGGGCTGGTGTACGTGGCGCAGGTCAGCATGATTCTTGGTTCATTACAAGTTTATTACAAGACAGGTCTAAACTGGGGTGGGGGGGGATTCACTCTGCAATTATTATTGGATGTGAAAAATCTACACTCACCGGCCACTTTATTAGGTACACCTCACTAGTAGCAGGTCGGACCCCCTCTTGTCTTCAGAACTGCCGTAATCCTTCATGGCAGAGATTCAACAAGCGTGTGTGTGTGTGTGTGTGTGTGTGTGTGTGTGTGTGAGTGTGTGTTCAGAGAGGTGAGAATGTCCCTAAAGTGTTAGTGTTCAGCACAGACGGAGAGTTTCTTCAGGCCTGGAACTCCAGCACTCTGGAAATGCCTCATGGAATCTTCCTGGCCGATGCGTCCACCGAGCCCACACTCTGGGTCACCGATGTGGGGAACGGTGGGTGTGTGTGTGTGTGTCAGTGTTGGATGTTTATTGTTACAAAGCCACTAGTTACTCTAAGTAAATGACCTTTCTGTGTGTGTGTGTGTGTGTGTGTGTGTGTGTGTGTGTGTGTGTGTGTTGCAGGGCCGTTCGGGCACACTGTAAAGCAGTACTCTCCATCTGGGAAGCTGCTGCAGGTTTTGGGAACTCCAGGTACAGCAGGATCGTCTCTCAGTCCGCTTCAGTTCGATCAGCCGGCAGAGATATTCGTCCACAGCTCTGGAGAAATCTACATCGTGGACGGAGACGGAGGAATGAATAACCGCCTCATCAAACTCTCCAAAGGTGACACTAACTAAAATATGAATCATTTATTAAAACATGCCGGTTTACCTTAAGTTAGGAGTGAGTGGTGTGACCAAGTTCAGATTTAGGGATTGAGTGATTTAATTTCCTCAGTGCTGTGATCCTCATTGTGGCGTTTTGGTGACTGTCCCTTTAAATGCAAATGAGATTGTGCTCTTTTCAGAAGAGGGCGGAGCTACAGACAGCTGTGCGTCAGCATAACAACAGATGTAAAACAGCACTGGTGTTCTCAGGCCACCAAAAAAACATGTTTAGAGCCAGGTGCAAAGAACGATTTTGGTTCATATAGCTGATATTACCCTTCATGACAGCTGTGAGGGGGTGAATTTCTTTATAACTCGTGCGTTTCATTTATATTAGGTCTGCATAATTAAGGGTGTGGCCACTTGAGTGACACCTAGGTCTCGCTGGTCGTCGTCACCTCAGCTGATTCCGGCTGATTAGCTGCTGAACTCGGCATATTCATTGTGTTTTTGTGTTGTTGTTGTATGTGGCTTTACACAGTCAGTCGCCTTTTGGAATTATTTCCTACAATTTTCAGATGATATAGCATGCTGTGTGCACTAAACTGGGCTCAAACCATTCACGTGGCCTCCATTTCCCAGCTGAGTGAAGTTATATACTCATACACCTTCTCTATAAGTGTGTTTGTTTTATTTAAGATCATTTATAATGTTCTTTAGAGCTGTAATGCGCTCCAGAATCTGACAGATTGATGAGCTGTGGGCTCTAGATCAGTCATCTGAAGTGTTGTCAGACAGTGTTCTGCTGGAGTTCATCAATAGTCCTGCATTTACTAACACACACACTATATCTGAAGTGTTTGGAAGTAATTCAAAAAACCTATGGGTGACTTCACGGGTACTACATCTATATCTTTTACAGTCTATGGTTTAAACCCCACGTAACAGTGAGTTCTGCATAATAGGTGGCTTTTAAAGGGGTCGTTCACCCAAAACTGAACATGTCCTGTTAGGTTACTCACCCTCAGCTCATCTACGATGTAGATCTATTTCCTCCAGGCTGTGGATTAAAGCTAATAATATTATAAATAATATTACATTTCTAACACTAGCTAATAATTTTGCTTCAAAAGACGTTTCCAGTGGACATTTTTGTAAACATTACAGGTGTTTGGGTTTCCCTCTAGTGTTAGCATGTGACACTGCATTCAGAGACTGACTGAAAGAGAACAAGGAGTCCGTCTACATATAACAGCAACACAAACATCACTCAGACAGAAGTGAGGGCTGAACAGGGAACAGCTGTATGCTAAACCAACAGTGAAGCGGAACACAGACGGCTGAGCAGGGGGAACAGCACTACAGCATGTTGACTTTAATACCGGACGAGCCGGAGCAGCCATTGTGGCTCCAGACGTGCGCTCTCATTCACTGCCCTTCAGTTTTAGACAGTATTAGAGCTCGTTCTGCTGCTTGATGAGGAAAACTGCTGTTGTCCAGCTATAATATTACTCTTTTGTGTGTATAGTTGTGAACACACTTGTTTGTAGAGCGAGTCGTTTGACTGTTTGTTATTCCAACTGATTTCTTCTGCAGGCGACTGAATCAGAAGTACTAAACCAATCACAGATATAAGCACACTTCCACATCGCAGAATAAGCTCAATAAGGGCTTTACTAATGACAGTGTTTGTGTGTGTGTGTGTGTGTGTGTGTGTCTCAGATCTGCAGGTGCTGTGGATGCATGGAGAGAAGGGTCAGGGTCTGGCTCAGTTCTACATCCCTCACAGTGTGGCGGTGGACAGCTCTCAGAGGGTGTGTGTGTGTGTGTGTGTGTGTGTGTGTGTGTGTGTGTGTCTGCTCATTCTGCTGCAGCTCTCATCGACTAATCTACTGTTGACTGTAATGTGTGTGTGCGTGTGTTTCTGTGTGTGTACATATGTGTATTGTGTTGAATTGTGTGTGTGTGAGTGCGTGTGTGTGTGTGTGTGTGTGTGTGTGCACAATGTGTGATTGTGCTTGTGTCTGAATTATCTGTGTTTGTGTGTGTGCGCACATGCTTAATGGGTGTGTGCATGCATGTCTGTGCACTTTGATGTGTGTGTGTGTGTTTTGTATGTGTGTGTGTGTGTGTGTGTGTGTGTGTGTGTGTTTTGTGTGTATTGTGTGTGTGTGTTTGTGTGTGTGTTTGTGTGCATGAATTTTTGTGTGTATGTGTATTGTTTGTGCATGCCTGTGTGTGTGTGTGTGTGTGTGTGTGTGTGTGTGTCTCTCTGTGTGCATGCATGTGTTTTTAGCATGTATTGTGTGTGTGTGTGTGTGTGTGTGTGTGTGTTCCTGTGTGTATATGTGTGGGCGTGTGTGTGTATCCTTAATTGTGTATAAGTGTATTATGCGTGTGTGTGTGTGTGTGTGCGCATAAGTGTATTGGGTGTGTGTGTACATGCATGTCTGTATTATTTGTGTTTTTTAGCATGTATTGCGCGCGCGTGTGTGCGTGCGTTTGTGTGCATGTGTGTGTGTGTGTGCATGAGTTTCTGTGAGTTTGGGTGTGAGTTTGGGTTTGTGTGT